TACAGTGGCTCTACCAGGGGTCTGTCTGTGCTGACGGTACTTTCGTTCCACTCACATGTAATGCTCCCCAGCAACCACAGCTCCCAGACGGTAGTGTCCAGGCCCTGGAGGGAGAGTGGGGAGAAGTGGGAATGGCATCCTGCAGGAGATGGTCAAAGTCTGCATAATGAGGCAGAGTCAGAAAGAACCTGATACTAGTGTATGCACGGGATTGTGGCTTTAAAAGTTTATCTTCTGATTGGTGTTAAGAGAACCAGGCAGTAAGAAGAGTAGATAATCACCCCTCAGTCAGCCGGTAACCTGCCAGATGATGAAACCGAGCTAGAAGCCAACCAGTTGTCCATTTCTTGTCCGCTGGGTTGATCTGAGCAGGGAGTTCTGCTCAGGCCCAGGTGGACATGAGAAGGGCTTTCAAAGAAAATGCATATAGTATTGGAAAACACTTTTCTCAGTAAGTGTGAATAAAGAGGAAGAAAATCATGGGTTTTATGAAAAAAATACTTCCACAGAAAAGTGTAGCATTTCCCTAAATATTCAGACGATGATTATGCTTCTGAAAACTTTTTTACTGCAGGAGGACCAGAGAAAATTTTCAGAATGTATGCCTGGGATCCTCAGCTAAGTTTTAAAGATACGACAACTATGAAATAGAAAAAAGCATGGTGAAATAAAAGACAAAGACAACAAAATAAAGTGAAAGGGGAGCAGGGAAACAATATGTTCTGAATATACTATATTGGCACCATTTAATCCTGAATTTTAATTAAGGAAGTGTAGATCAAAGATTATGTTTTTTTTTAAAGATACCACCTAGTAGAACTAAAATCAATGACAAAAGAATTCTAAAACAATTGAGAAAATGAAAGTAAAGAAAAATTTGCCCTTTATAATAAAAGAAGGAAACCTAAAGAAGTCTGTAGTAAGTGGCAAATGGCTTTCATTGAGTATATATCATGTGTTAATGCTTGTCATATTATTATCACTAAGTCTTATGATTGGAACTTGGAACCGCTGGTTAGAATTTGAAACCAGGTCTGTCTGACTTCGCAATCCATGAACTTTTCCCAGCAAACCATGCTTCTCATCAATTATGTCAGTAAATGAAATGGTTTAAATTTTCCTATTGAAAGACCACATTCAAACTCTTAATTTTTCCCTCCTTCCCACCCCAGTTTCCCCTTTGGTAGCTGTAAGTTTGTTTTCTGTGTCTTTGAGTCTAATTCTGTTTTGTAAGTAAGTTCATTTGTATTATTTTTTTAGATTCCACATATAAGTGATAAGTTAGGAGTTTGGGATTAACACGCACACTACTGTATATAAAATAGGTAAACAACAGTGACCTACTGTACAGCACAGGGAACTATATTCAGTATCTTATAATAACCAATAATGGAAAAGAATCTGAAAAAGAATATACATATTACATATATTATATATTATATACTATATATGTTTATAAATAATAGTATTTTGTAACACATGAAAAAGTATATGAAATTCAAAGTTTATTGACCATAAGCAAAATTTTGTTAGAAAACAGCCTTGCTTATTCTTTTGCATGTTTGTGGCTGCTTTTGAAGTGCTGCTCAGTGCACAGCAAGCGACAGTGACATAGTCGTAACTCTAGTGTTTGGTTGCCACACCTGTAGCTATACTGCAACTTTTATTTATTTTTTATTACTGATGCACACTCATCATGTCAAAATAAGAAAAGTGGACTTTGAATGATGTCATGACACTATGCTGTAGTAAAAGAATACAGTAGATTGACATTTCCAACCTAAGCACTTACCAGAATATATCCAGCTCACAGGAAAGCAATGGCCAGAAAAATTAGAAAATTTAAGACAAAATGTCTAATCGCAGCAGAATTTCTTCACAAGATAAAAAGCCAAAAATGGAGCTGCAACCTAAGTTAGTTTCTGAGTGACTCATTTGTTAGCCACGCAAAGAAAGCCTTTTTACCTAGGGTG